CAGTGTACTTCATCCATCTGCCTGTCCTGCTCTCCACTCTGTCTCTGGTGAATCCTCTCACCCCCCGCACCTCTGGCCTATACCTCAGTTCTGTATGACAAATACATCTTTAAAAAAAAAAGTTATCAGGGCTGCTGCAGACTCAGCAAACACCTCATCCTGAGACATTTTATCAGGGATGAAATATTTTCATTTTAATGCCCACAGTGGAGCATGATCTTTCTATCGCCTCAGGCCTTAACACTCCCTAATGCCTTGCTTGGCCTGTTCAGTAAAGATCTAGCTGACTTTTTTAAGTAATCGGTGCACCAGGAAGCATCCCTTCTTGTAAGTAGAAGGGTGACTCAACTGTAGAAAAAGAAAAGATTTTTTAAGCAGAAAGAGGGCAAGGGAAGAGAAGAGGAGACTACTTCCGGCTTTGATAACCTACATATGGTGTATGGCAAAAATTTACATGGCAGATTGCTGAGGGGAGCGGTGAGCGGGTCAGGAGAGGTCTGCTTGGCCACCTGGGTCACCTCGAGGGCAGGCAGGGATCAAACTCATGCGGAAGTGGCTTTAGCTTATTAGTGCTCTGCTCTAAGCCGCTGCGCCACCAGGGAGGGCCCCTGTCTTTTCCTTTTTAACATACACTCTCATCACATGCTTGGCAACTCAGAGGCATGTGAATTTGTGACCGTCATTGCGTCCAGTCTCATAGGTGCGACAGAATAAAAAGCTGAGGCCCAAGAAGTGAGTGACTTTTCCAAAGTAAGACTCAGAGCAGGCTCTTCCCACTCCTCCCTCTTACTCCCTCACTCCACAGCAGCAACCTTTTTTCCATCATGAGCAAGTATACACTACAGGCAGAAAGCAGGCCAAGTCTTTAAGTTACATGTACAACCTCAAATGGGCCCCGATATTTCGGGTGCATATTATTTCATCCTCACCAGCATCCAAGAGGCTATTTATGTTTTCACTTTATTTCCTATGCCTCTTTCCATAGGGACAGGTCCACAGTGGCATCCTCACAGCTAGAAAAAAAACATGTCATTCTGTGTCCACACGCCTTTGTGGGGTCTTCTCCCTGTTCCTGGGCTCTCATTTCCAGAACTATAAACAGCCCCCTAGAATACAGTTTTCAGAGATAATATTAAAGGTTAAAGAAGCAGCTTTTTGCAGGATTTCTTACAGACGGCCACGGTATCCTTGACAAACCACAGCGGTCTGCAAGGTCAGTGCAGCCCCGGGCGCCGACTAGGCCTCAAATGCAGCACCCCTGTCTCAAGCTTCGTGTGGCCCAGGGGGCCCCTCCCTGCCCCCACACATTGTGAGGGTGTTCACTGCACTGACTTCGGAGGGTTGCGGGCAGCCTCAACGAGGCGACCCTGTCAAGCGCCTACACTAGCCCCGCAGGTGCTAAGCTCAGGAAGAGGCAGTAAAACCCTAGTTTTGATGTGGTCAGTGGCCGGCGGCCTGAGGAACCACGAGGGCCACGGGTTCCCGGCCTGGCAGAGACAGCCCGGCCAGGCAGGGCATCGGGAAATGTCCCTCCCAAGCC